TCTCTCTCTCTCTCTCTCTCTCTCTCTCTCTCTCTCTCTCTCTCTCTCTCTCTATCTATCTATCTATCTATCTATCTATCTATCTATCTCTGTGTCTGTCTGTCTGTAGCTCACTCGCTTGCTCGCTCTCTCCCCCCCCTGTCCCTCCGACCGTTAGGTCTCCCCCACACCCCACTCCACTACCTACCTTTAGTTATTGCTTTAGGTCCCCCCCCACCCCTACCTACCTAACTTTAGTGATTGATTAAGTTAGAGCCACATATTCCATTTTCACCCTATTTTTTATTTTATAAGTGAAGACAAAGCTCTTGGGATGCCTCTTCAGAAGAAGAGAAAGCCCTACCCAACTTCTGCGTCCGGTTCCGTCCAAGCCACCGCCGTTTTCAAACCCGGCGCCATTCCGTAAATGGCTGTCGTCGGGTGGGAGGAGGTTGATTGTCCGTGCATCCTGGCAGATATCTCTGAATCTTTCCTCAAGCTCCGCTGATAGCCTAGTGACTGATACCCACTCACCAGGCGGATGCAGCTCGCTCAGCAATTGGCTCACCGCATTAAGCAGCTGAACTTCAATGTCCTCTTCGTCGCCATCGTCGTCGTGCATCTCCCGCCCGCCCGTGTTCTTTCCTTCGCCCTGTGGCCACATATCCAACGGTCCAGTAATGTCGCCCCTTCCTCCATTAACCTCGTCGAGAGTCGCTTCTTTCCCAAGGGTTCCGCCTATTCTCCCGCTTCCACCCACCATTCCTGCCGGATAATACCTGTCATCTCGAACACGCTCCATCTTCGATCTCTTACCAGACGCAATAACACCTTTGCTATCATTCACAACACCGGGCGTCCTCATCTCACCGAGCACAGCCCGCCCTTCTGTGATCCCCCCTACCCTTCCGTCGGAAATCACCCCCCTCCCCTCTGGAACCATCCCCCTACCCTCCTGAATGACCCCTCTTCCGTCCGCAACACCCCCCCTTCCATCCGTAACAGCCCTGCTCCCCTCCGTAATCACCCCTCTACCGTCCCCGACCACCCCCCTGCCGTCCACAACCACACCCCTACCCTCCACCCCCGCTGTTCTCCCCTCCATGTTGGGGGTTGCACCTGTCGGCAAAGTCGATCTGCGTTTCGAGTGAGGAACAGCCGCCATCCCGGCACCATCACCCGTAGGCGCCGCCAATTCCGAGGTCCAAGACCCAGGTGCATGTTTTTTCACAGGTAAGAGGAAATAGAACTTCTTATCTCCGATAACAATCTGATACTGCGACCCAAGCTTGACCGGAGGAGTCGAAGGGAGATGGAGAACCCCCTCCACATAGGCTCCATTCTTGCCGAGCACCTCGAGCTCGAAGCACTTGTGCTGAAAGTGGTAAAATATGCGTGCGTGCTGTCGTGATATGTTCATCCCGCCGCCTTTATCCGTCAGGTCAAGATCGACGCTGGCCTTCTTGCTGTTCCTCCCAAGGGTAATGGAGTAACTCTGCATGAAGTACTCAAAATCTTCCCCTTGTAGCTTTGCGAATCCGGCCTTCATCTCTTGTGGCCCACCCATCCTGAAGAACACAAGCCGCCAGCCTCCACTCAAGGCTTTAACTTGACGGGCATGCGTACAACAAGTCACATCACTCCAGAATCCTCTTTTTTTTTCAGAATGCTGTTTCTTTTTTCAAACCAGAGCCTGCTATTAGAGTTTTACTTGCAATCTTTATGCTTCGCAGACTGTCCGATCGATCAACATGGCAGGTTGATTAATCCTCTTACAAGCACCGCACCGCCCGCCTGTCAAACTGAGAGCCATAAATAATTCACAAAGAAGATCACAGCAGATTCACACACAATTCACAGAAGATTCACACTCCCTCCGCAGACGGTTCACAGCAACGCACAGGTGTTTCACAAAACACAATTCATGGACAAACAACTCGGAACCGATCACTAAATGCATTGGACAAAAACAAAAAGCAACCGACAAACGCTGCCTCATCACAGAAAATAATCAGGCGGCGATTGAGAAGGTGGGGGAAAAAAAAGAGGGGAAAAGAATTTTGATGTCGCCCTGTGGCCTAGCTCAGTTGGTAAGGCTCGCAAGTGGCATTCAGGAGGTCGTGGGTTCAATCCCCATTGGCCTCATGCTTGGCGCCTGCCACCTAGAGATGGACCACTGGATCCCCCAATCGGCATTGAGCAGAGTCTGCTGAGGTTCATAAGGGGGGGGGGGGGACCACCACCTGAGGGGAGGATTGGTCCTGTTGCCCTGGTGGTCCCTGATGCTACCGGCTGTCCCCTCAGGCTGGTGGTATCGCCCACCTGCAGGTCGGGAGCAGGCCCCCACATGTTCTCTCATGAATACGGTGCTGGCTGCTACGGGGTTCCCCGTATGACTATGATTAGGAGTAGTGGTAGGTAGGTAGTGTGAGGTGAAATTGAGAGAAGAATGTAGCTTACTTTATTAAAAAAACCTGTCTCTTATACACATCTAGATGTGTATAAGAGACAGCATGTACATCATGGCAAGGCCCCTACTTGAGGGCTCAATCCTCACAGAGAGAAGAATGTAGCTTACTTTATTAAAAAAAAAAAAAAAAAAAAAAAAAGTGGTCCACGTAAATCAGTTTATTATTCTGTATAACATAGTATTTTAAGCTTTTTTTTTTTTTTTGAACTTTTCTTGTCTGTTTTTTTTTGTGTGTGTGTGGGAGGGGGGGTGGTGTGGAGAGGGCCAAGTGACCTTACCTCTCCCTTGCCTGGTGGGTAGTCCATACAACCAATGTGACACAGACGGCCCAGCTGGTATACTCACAATACTAATATACTAATACCAAAAGAGAAAGTATTCCAAAATTGGCATGGTCAATGTATCCGGGCACCACGATCTTATGCCTGAATGGCACAAACTCAAAATCGTTGCTGAAAGACGGTCTGCAGCAGATTTCCTTGTCGGGATCCTGGTGCCCAAATAGCCTGCCTGTTGAAATGGACCCTAATCTAGATATTCGAAAAGTCAAAAGGGTATCCCAGACCCCTCTCCCCCCCCCCCCCCCCCCCCNCTTGACCCTCTTCACCCCCCGTGATGGACGACACTGCAAAATGGCCGAATTGAAAGTTGACACTCTACCAACGAGCCGATCTCAGTTGGTACACCCACAAACTGTTAAAAATACAAAGTCATTACAGGCGTAAGTTTGAATCCAGATGCAGACAGCTGAACAGAATAAAATAACTTTGAATTACATGGGCCAGTCAGTCCGATGATCATATCTCAAGAACATCACCCATTAAAAATAAAAAATAAATAAAAAGAAGAAAAAGAAGAAAAAGAAGAAGAAGAAGAAGAAGAAGAAGTTTGTGCCTAGGCTACCAGCCGGGCCGCCTGGGTCATCTTGTTTGCCCAGGCGGGCCGGCCGTGCAAGGGCCAGAGATGGCACCAGCAAAATAAAAAAAAATTAAAAAAAAATAAAAAATTCACAAAAATCTGAAACAAAAAACTATGTTATGCAAAAAAATAAACCGTTTGCCTCAGGGTCACATCCACCAAAATTTTAAATTTTAAATAAAAATAATTTTAGATTTATTTATTTTTTAGTTTCTTTTTTTTTTTTGGCCCGGCCGGGCAAGTGGACCCGGCCGCTCTGGTAGCCTAGGTTGGCGCCCTTCGAATTCACATCCAGATAAGGGCGGGCCAGATAGGGTCCCCGTGACAGCTGCTGCTGCTGCTGCTACTGCTACCGCTACTGCTACTGCTACTGCTTCTGCTACTGCTACTGCTACTGCTACTGCTACTGCTGCTGTGTACTGCTGTTGCTGTCACTACCACTGCTCCAGTTTGCTGCTTGCATCTGTTTGCATCTATTCGCTTCTGTTCACTTCTCGATTTATGTGTGTCATCCTTGCGCAGGGGCCATGCTAATCTTCTTTCTCTCTATCGTGTCAATTTTAACGGATGTCCCGAAGGACGCTTGCGTTCACTTCGGTCCACTTCTGTCTGGTGCTGTTTGCTGCTGTTCGCATCTGTGTGCATCTGTTTGCATCTGTTAAAACACTAATACCTTTGTCGGTTCGGAAAATAGCAGGCCTCCGACCTTTCAGGAGGCTGAAACGAAACGACGGCCGTCGATTAGATTTATCAATGGCAGCCGTCGTCAGGCCCGGCCTCCGAATTCTTCGGGAGCTGGCGTTTTCCCTCATTTCTGAAGCGGCAAAGGTACTACTGCTTTAAAACTCCTGTTTGCTTTCCCTTTGCTTCCGTCTGCTTCCGTCTGCTGAAACGGGTGTAGCCCAGTTGGTACACCCATAAATTGTTAGAATACGGACTCTGAGTTTTAATTCAAATGATCCACGTGAACATAATAGAACCAATTCTGAATAACCCGGGCCCGCTATCTTCAATGATCATATCTGAAGACCGTTGCCCTTTTTATAAAAAAAAGGGGGAAAAAACAGACACTTCAAGGAGCCTCTCAGCTGCTGAGGCCCTGGATACCAGCAGCAGCTCCGCCCCTCAGTTTTAACTAAAGGGGCGTATACCAGCAACGGTACCCCTCTGTTGCTGTTGAAGGGGTGTCTTTGAATTATTAAACCACCAGTACTTATGCCCCTACCCTTGCAGAGGCTAGAACCGCCCTCCACGCCAAGCGGAAGGAACGGCGCGTTTTCCTTTTCGGCTTGTGCCACCAGCCATTTTCGCTCCAGTAGACCATGCCCTGGAAGTCGCAGCCCGTTAACGGCCTTGTCGAAGAAAAATGGCTGGGAAGCGTACTGGAGGGGGTCTACAAGAGGGGTTGAAACCCCCGCAAAAATTGTACCCCTCAAGCATTTGAGAATCTCTTTTACCCACAGCTGGATGTGTGTAAGACCATTAAACCACCAGTACCTTTCCCCGCTTGAAAAACACATACGCGGCTCTTTTACGGCCCCGCATTTTTCGGGGGTCCGGTCCCGGGACGAAATGCCTGGCGGCACCAGCCAAAGCAGGCCCACATCGGAAGGAGATCAAATAACTTAGTACCGTTCACTGCTGCAGTGGTTACCATGCTTTGGCTCTTGGGGCCAAGGGCGTCGATTCGATGGCCGCATTTTTCGGGGGTCTGGTACCGGTCCGAAATGCCTGGCGGAAAACAGCCAAAAGCAGGCCCACATCGGGACGAGATCAAATAACTACCACAGTACCCTTCATGGCTGCAGTGATACCATGCTTGGTTCTTGGACCCAACGACGTCAGTTTGATTCCCTGCGCCAGGGGGAGGGAAGGAGGATAAGTTATGGGACAGATGGGGCGCGTACCCAGAACTACTGACCCAGGACCGGGACCCCCAGACAGGACAAATCCAATTCTGGCCCCACACTCCTGTGCCACGTACCCCGAATAGACCCTGACGCCGAAGCACGAAATTGTCAGGAGGCGTAGCTCGCCGTGTAACATCGCGTCCTCTGCCCGGAAATCGGTTTATCGTACTTTATACATAGTTCCGAAGTAAGGATAGAGAGAGAAATTGGAAGTGTGTAGTTGTAACATAATTAGAAGGGAGCGGCTTGGGAAAGCGTAAGGAAAGGAGGATAGTAGCGAGGATCAAAAAGGGAGGAGGGGGCAAGGAGGGGAAGTTGCCTATACCCTGAAGACAAGGAAAAGGTAAAACAAAGGTGAAAAGGAAAATGGTAAAGCTGGGGAAGACTTGCCTGATGTAGCAAAACCTGTACAGTCGAATCTGGGAGGCCAGCATATGGAGGTCATATGTTGCCTGAATACAAGGGGCGGAGGAGTGAGCAGAGGTAGTGTGCCAAATGGCAAGCATAGGAAGTGGGATCCGGGAATATCCAGGACCAAGGAAGGAAGGAAGGATACAGGGTCATCGATATGCGGCCCGCGAGGCTGCTAGGGTTGGCCCGCCCCCTCCACCCCCGGCACCCAGCCTATTCTTAGGAACAGCAACACCTAAGAACCGGCGTAGGCATGCGAGATGGTTTGTGGATGGGCTGGAGACATGAGATATGCGGCCCGCGAGGCTGCTAGGGTTGCCCACCCCGCCTCTCCTGAGGCCCCCCTGCTGCAAGACTGGGTGCTGATGGGCTGGAGACGTGACATCTGTGGCCCGCAAGGATGCTAGGGCCCCCCGCMCCCCGCCTCTAGGAGAGGCACCCCTGCTGCGGGACTGGGTGCTGCCAGCAAGCCTCCCGGCCAGCAGACGAGCCTGCTAGGAAAGGCCATGGTTTGGGGGGTGGGATATGCCATAGCAGCCCCCCCTTTTGCTTAGGCAACTCGTGCCACAAGGGCAGGGCTGGTCTATTACCTACTACTCACCTCTTGATCTCTGCTCTTGTGGAAACCTGCTTGCCGGTAATAAGCAACCGGAATGAAAAAGAAAACAAACCGAACACAAAAACGAATCCAGTCTTTCACGCGTCCAAACTGCTTCCGTGCCGTGCTCCTGGTTCCTTTCCTTATCGTGAGCCTTATCATGAGCCTATGATCCCTCGTGCTATGGATGGCGGTCATGAGATCTACAGGATTGTGAGTCATACTGGTAAGGGACGTAATAGACAGTATCGAGTTCACTGTTTGTACCGCCCACTAGATGATTTGTACTGGATTTCAAACAAGGAATTGCTGTGAAGCGCACCCCGAGTCACTATCACCAGACCTGACCTGGCAAGGCCAGGTACCATACCGGTTTCGATTTTTTTTAGTTTCCCAT